CTGCCACTGCTGCTTCATGTTGTCTGCCACTGCTGCTTCATGCTGTCTGCCACTGCTACCTCATGTTGTCTTCCACTCCTGCTTCATGCTGTCTGCCACTGCTACCTCATGTTGTCTTCCACTGCTGCTTCATGTTGTCTGCCACTGCTACCTCATATTGTCTGCCACTGCTACCTCATGTTGTCTGCCACTGCTGCTTCATGTTGTCTGCCACTGCTACCTCATGTTGTCTGCCACTGCTGCTTCATGTTGCCTGCCACTGCTACCTCATGTTCTCTGCCACTGCTACCTCATGATGTCTGCCACTGCTGCTTCATGATGTCTGCCACTGCTGTTTCATGTTCTCTGCCACTGCTACCTCACGATGTCTGCTCCCACTTTTGGTAATGTGTTGAAGAGCTTTCCAATATGTGAAGGTTGAGGGGCAGTGCCAATCGGACAGGTATTGGACAGTGACGTCATTTGTTCACTCTTGAACATTGCCAAAGAATCAAACATTTCTGCTACTCTGAGCTCAATATCAAGGTACTTTTCGTTGTGAAACTAATCAAAATCATATCTATTTCTGTAGTATATCTTCCATTCTATCAACTGAGACCAAAAAACGAGAATACAACCATTAAAACCATACAAAAATATACCGCTAAGGGGAGGCTAATGGTCGAGAAGTGGACTTCATTATTTATGGTCCGATTTCTTTCATCTTTGGTGTACGTTACGTAGCATCTTGCCATTATACACTGCCCAAGTTTCAATAAGATAGTCCAACAAACAACTGAGATCCAGTTTCCTAGATCATGAGCAAGAGCCCCTCGCCAGCATCAAGGAATTTCCCTCGAGGTCCACTCACATCTGGAAATTTTGCTTGCATCTGGAAGCAAAAAATCGACCGAGTGACTGCTCGTGTCTGGAAAAACTCACACGTGGATGCACCTGTAAGTAGAGGTTCCACTGTATATCAAATAAATTTTCCTCATTTAAATTAACTGAAATGCCGTTAATCTATTCCAGCGGAATTCCTGCCTTGAGAGGCAGGACAAAATACTTCAATATAACACTAATATCAACTCTTCAGCTTATTTATCTATCACAATTGATCTAATGACATAATAAACAATATAGATATCATATAAACATGATATATACTCTAGAATGAATAAAATATGTCATTATGTGATGAGCGGTGGCAGCCATTGCCGCTGCTGCACTGACCATGTCCTCCCATTCTTCCCCTTCTGATAATGGAGTGTTTGTGAGACTAACTGCACTAGATCACTAATTTCATAAGGAAAACACTGAAACAATGTATTTATAAACAAGAAATATTGCATAAAAACAATAAAACATAATAGAGAATGTAAAGAAATAAACTAGTTCTATAAAGTGTACGTACGCTGGCAGAAGTGGAGGGTGGAAGATAGGCTACTTGCTCCACTCTTAATACTACAATTTATCACTAAACTCAATTGCTACACTCTTAATGCTTAATGTGAGGCAATACTAGTGTAGTAGAAGTACGTACTACTGCCTCACACACGACCCGCACACCTCACACCTCGCTCGTGTTTATATATGATTGCATGCTTTAATTCCATGGACATTATCCTCTTTTTCTTCTCAGCACTGTCCTTTGCACTTACTTTCTTAGGACCCATGGTTAGAAAAAAGAAATTTGGCAAAATAATTACACAAAATACAAGCAAAACACGAGAGAAATGCTTCCACGGCAAGGTAAACAGTGCACTGCAACAGTTGGCGGTGTTCTGAAGCTTATTATTATTATTATTATTTATTATTATTATTATTATTAATTTAGGGAACTGGAGCACCGTTCCAATTCCCCAGATCAAGAGCTCCTCACCAAAATTAATAATAATAATAAAATTATAATAATAATGAGCAAACTTCAGTTCCCTAAATTAATAATAATAATAGTAGTAGGCTGGTAAACAGCAACCGCCCAGGGAGGTACTACTGTCCTGCCAAGTGAGTATACAACAAAAACCTGTAGTAATTGTTTTACATGATGGTAGGATTGCTGGTGTCTTTTGTTTGTCTCATAAGCATGCAAGATTTCAGGTATGTCTTGCTACTTCTACTTGCACTTAGGTCACACTTCACATACATGTACAAGCATATACACCTACCATCCGACTTACGACCTGCTCGACTTACGACCACTCGACTGACGACCGTGTTTTTTATGCCAAATTTCTGGGAAATAAACAACTATTTGTGTTGTACACAGTGTTTATCCTAAACCTTACAGTGTAAAATACAGTACTAACATGATAAAAAGTAAAATAAAACATGAAATACCAAAATAAAACAATAAAATAAAGTCATTACAAAAATGTTTTGTTGATATTCAGTAGTAAAGTTCGACTTACGACCATTTCGATTTACGACCTGTTTCTCGGAACCAAACTCGGTCTTAAGTCAGATGGTAGGTGGGTTTTCTTCTATTTTCTTTGTAGTTCTTGTTCTTGTTTATTTCCTCTTATCTCCATGGGGAAGTGGAACAGAATTCTTCCTCCGTAAGCCATGCGTGTTGTAAGAGGCGACTAAAATGCCTGGAGCAAGGGGCTAGTAACCCCTTCTCCCGTATAAATTACTAAATTTAAAAAGAGAAACTTTCATTTTTTTTTTTGAGCCACCCTGCCTTGGTGGGATACGGCCGGTGTGTTGAAAGAAAGAATAATAATAATAATAATAATAATAAGTAATAATAATAACGAAGAGCTTCAGAACGCTGCTAACTGGCGCAGTGCATTGTTTACCTCACTGTGGAAGCATTTCTCTCATGTTTTGCTTGCATTTTGTGTAGTTATTTTGCCAAATTTCTTTTTTTCTAACCATGGGTCCTAAAAAGTAAGTGCAAATGACAGTGCAGAGAAGAAAAAGAGGACGATGCCCATGGAATTAAAGCATGAAATCATTGATAAACACAAGCAAGGTGTGAGGGTTGAGGGGGAAGCTGCTCGTAACTCAGAGCAAAAAATCGACCGAGCAACAGCTCGTATCTCGAAAAACTTGTATGTTGGGGCACTCGTAAGTCGAGGTTTCACTGTATAATAACTAGGTGTACGTGCCAAAAGCCCCTTTATATGCAGAGCATTTCAGGCTAACTTAAGATTAATAAGGCAATAACAGTATATATGGTCATTAGGCGAGTTACAATGAATACAGGAGAACCGAATATTCTATTAGTTCATGCTATAAGGTTTTAATAAGTTAACAGTGGAGATGATTACAGATATTAGTTCATGCTATATGGCTTTAATAAGTTAACAATTGAGATGATTACAGATGCTGAGAGTGTATATATTGATTATAAGGTTTTACTTTTGTTCATAATATTGAGCAAATGCATGTACAGTTTTTACTTATGTATTTAAGATAGGCTGGGATAGGTTAAGGAGATAAGGTGTTTTTTAACTGTAGTTTTAAAAATGTTAGCTAAGCCAGTGGTTCTGGAGATTTCTGGCAGAGAGGTCCAGATTTTGGGACTGTTTATGTACACCAAGTTTTTGAAAAGATTTAGCCTGACAAAGGGAATGTCATAAGAGGTTTCTGTGCCTAGTATTATGTCTATGGGTCCTATTGCAACTGTCAAGAAAGCACTTCAGGTCGGGATTTATACTAGAATTGATTGTTCTGTAAATGTAGGTCGCACAGTAGTACAAGATCAGTAGATTGTGTGATCACTTGCACTTCAGCTTTTGTTGGGTTATAATTGGCTTTAGGTGATTTGTCACTGTGAAACCCCAGGCACAAATAATATAGGTGAGGTAAGGGAAGATCAGTGAATAATATAGTGTAGGCTGTGCTGTTTGTGGTACATAGTAATGTATCTCTGAGATGATGCCAACTGTTTCGGACACTTTTTTTGTTGTGCGTTGGATATGGGTGTTGAATTTCAGGTTGCTGTCAAAGTTCAGACCCAGGATTTTTCCCTCATTATGTTTAGCAATAAAGGTGTTGTTAAGCATAATGTTTAGTTGGACCTCACTTGCTCTACTCCTAAACATAATGTAAAATATTTTGTAATCCAGGTTGCTATTTCTACGAGCTGTTCATGAACAATAGTGTTGAGTGAGGCTAGATCAGGATGGGAGATGACAAAAGTCATGTTGTCAGCAAAGAGAATAGGCATAAGTTGTTGTGATACGCTTTGAAGATCATTGTTGTATAAAAGGAAAAGAAGGGGGCCAAGAACATTTCCGTGATACACCAGTGTTCAGGGATCTTGTCAAGGAGGTTGCGTCCTTGACAGAGACATATTGCTGTCTATTAGTAAGGTAAGACTTGATAAGTGTAAATGCATGGCTTCTTATACCATAATGATCAAGTCCGAGGAGTAGGATACTGTGGTCTACTATATCAAAACCTCAATAAAGAGCCCAGCAGATATTCATTTTTTCAAGTGATGCATAAAGTAGGTCTAGCATTTTTATTATTGCATCATTTGTGCTCTTGTTTTTCCTGAACCCAACTGGCAGGGGTTGAGGATGCTTGTGATGTTATGAAGGAGTATAACCTTTTTCTGTATGAGCTTCTCAGAGATTTTGGAAAGTAAAGGGAAATTTGATGTTGGCCTATAACTGTTTACATCTTGGTGTACCAGTGTAATCTTTGTTATTTTGAGTGATTCCAGAAAAGTATTGGTTTCTAGTGATTTGTTGAAGAGTTATGCAATGGTGGGTGAAAGGATTTGAGCCACTCGGTTGTACAATAGTGGTACTTGGGTTACATTTCCTGATTTGTTTTTTAGCTGCATGGTGACATGAAAATGCCTTAATATAAATATACTCATATAGGAAAAATGTTTCACAACTCAATATGAACCAAAAAAAAAAAAAAAAAAAAAAAAGAGTTAAGACATTCATCTACAGTAAGATACAACATGCAACAATAATAATGCATATTTATATTTCAATATCAGTTCCCCCCCATATTTATATCATGCTTAATAGTGGCTTGACCTGTCTTCAACTTACCTGAACACCAGTTGGAGGCCAATTTTTTATATAGCCTGTGCAATGAACAACTGCATAATTGTGTCCATCACTGGCAGGACCTAAAGAATTTCTTTGTCGTAGTCTGTTTAGGTGGCCAGAATTCATATTCTCTGTAGTAACTGTGCCTACCTTCATCCGACAAATAAAGCCCCGCCTGGATCCCATGCACAGTCTCATGGATGCTGCAAAAGATATCAATATAATGTATTTTAAATATAAAATATATAGCTCAATAAGAAATACACAATAAACCTAAAACAAGGGGTACATAAACTGATTCTGCATTGATATCAACTGACCCTGATCCCTGACATATTCCAAAAATCAAACCAGACAATTTTTTTTTTAAAGTGACATCAGTCAACATATCTTAAAAGTTATTCCCTCTATTTTAATGGTAATTCAGACACAGTAACAGTTGCAGGTAAAGGATTTTAAACCCAATCAAATGCTTCTGTTGGGAAGACAGTAGTGGCATTCTCTAATTTTTTCACTGGGCTGTCCCCCACCAAGGTAGGGTGACCTCCACCTTCCCACCAAAAAAAAAATAAAAATAAAAAATAAAATAAATAAATAAATAAATAAACAAATAAAGACAATGGCCATATTTTATTCAATAGCTGTTGTGCCAGAAGTGCACAGATATCACAATTCAAATGAATCTTTGAACTTCAACATCCCTATCCCTCCTTCAGAATGCAGGCATCATATTTTTGACCTCCAGGAGTAATGTCCAGTTAACTGGTTTCAATGAATCCCTTCATAAATGTTACCCTGCTCACACTCCAGCTGCACATCCATCCACATAAACCACTTGCTCCAATCTAAACATATTCAGACAAGCCTGCTGGATGCTCAGGCCTTTAATACTCAAAACCTGTACCATCCCCTTCTTGCAACCCTTCTTAGGATTACCCCTATTCCTCCTTCCTTTTATTCCAGGCTTATACACCTTCTTAACCAGCCTGTTCTCCTTCACTTCTCTAAATGGCCAAACCACCTTAACAAGCCCTCCTTAGCCCTCTGAATTATACCTTTGGTATAATTTTCCATCATCAAAATTTTGACATTTTCAATGAAGAAAACGTCATTCACTAATAAAAAAAAACATTAAATTTTGAAAAGCACTCAAGATTTTTTATAGAAAGACATTTACAGTGGAACCTCAAATATCGAACTTTCTTCGGTCCAGAAGGCTGTTTGAGTGCCTTTACCGAATGAATTTATTCCCATCAGGAATAATGTAAATTAGATTAGTCCATTTCAGATCCTCAAAAATACACTAATAAAAGCACTTACAAAAATACACTTACATAATTGGTTGTGTTGGGAGCAGTTTGATTTTTGAGGTTCCACTGTACTCCAAAGTTCGAATTTCGATTGAATTGCAACCATTTTACTCTCAATTTCGGAATTAGTTATTATAAATTAATACTTCCTAGGTAGTAGGTTGGTAAACAATAACCACCCTCTCTCTCTCTCTCTATCTATCTATCTCTCTCTCTATCTAGCTCTCTCTCTCTCCCCACCCCCCCTTTTTTTTTTTTTTTTTTTTACACAGGGTTTGACAAGGTTAAGGATCCCTAGCTTTATTGACAAGCTATTCAGGTTAAGGATTCCTAACTTTATTGGCAAGCTAAGAGCTGTTACCTACATCAGCTCATTTGAAAGAATTTTTTTTGTTATGAGACACACAAGTAGGGAACAGGATGAAGTTGGAGCCATCAGTGGGCCAGCATTTTCATTTGATCAACTGACTTTATCTCGTTGAAATCATTATGCTGTACAAATGTGTTCCATACTCGAGTCATCCTGGGTATATATAATCTCAGATGGAGTGATGTTCTGGAGAAAGGTACAGCCAGAGTGAAGTTGCTGCTTTCTGCCCGTCTTGTGGCATAAAAGCTTGTTTCACGCTGTCCTCGAAGTGGATCCAAGTGTGGTACTTTGACAATATTGGCCTTATACATAACAGTAAGGCCACCCACATCCTTCCTGTGTTGAAGGCTCTGCTGAAATGACAGATCTATCCAGGACTGGTCCAGGAGAGAGATGAGACATCTTGCTCTGTTCTCTACTCTGTCAAGCAGTCACAGATGAGAGGGGGGGGCAGGCAAACCAAGAAAGTGGAGCATACTCAAGGTGTGAACGTACTTGTGCCTCGTACAGAATCTTGCAACCCCTACTGTCAAGCAGATGCGAGATAGGGCGAAGTGCTGTAAGCTTCCTGGCTGCCTTATTTGCAAGATTTACAACATGGTTCTTCATGGTCAGTTTGGAGTCAAATTTCACCCTAAGGATATCAACTTCTTCTCCAGGTGCCAACACCCTCCCATTCATCCTTACTACTGCACCAGCATTACCATCATGGTGCCTAGAGACCATCATCATTCGCATTTTCTCAGGTGCAAATGTTACTTGCCATCTATTTCCCCAAGCTGATATAGCTCTTAGATGATGATTGTTGTAGCTTAGAGCAGCTGGCATTTCTTCTCTTGGATAAGTGAATGTCAAGTGTACAGTCGTCTGCATATGCATGGGATTCTGGGATGAGATGAAGAAGGTCACTGAAGTAGACATTCCATAACAGTGGTCCCAGAATGTTTCCTTGTGGAACACTTGCCCCAATAGGATGTCTTGCTGATTCCATTCCATTGAGAACTACCCTTAGAGATCTACCATGAAGGTAATCACTGAGGAGACATAGTGTAGAGCCTGCAATTCCCAGTGTTTGAAGTTTTGCTAAGAGGCTCTAGTGCCACACCCGGTCGAAAGCACCAGCAATGTCCAGTGCTACCACACAGCTGACTTTGGATTCATCCAGTGACTGGTGCCACTTAGCAGAGAGGTTTAACAACAGATCAGCAGCAGAGTAACATTTCCTGAAGCCATATTGATGGTCACAAAGTAGTAAGTGGTAGTCAAAAAACCTGTCATTTGTCTTGAGATTATTGTCTCAAGGATCTTACCAGTGATTGACAGGAGTGACACTGGTCTGCAGTTGCTGATTTCTGCTCTGCTCTTCTTTTTGTGAACAGGGACTGCATTTGCCTCTTTCCACACAGAGGGCCATTTACCCTGTACTAGGCAGTGCTGAAAGATGTGAGTTAGAGGTGTTGCTAGCTGGTCTGCACATCTTCTCGGCAATCTTGGGCTCAACTTGTCTGGGCCCACAGCCTTTTCTTGGTCAAGTGATTTAAGAAGGAAATGCACCTCCTCCTGCCTTATTGTCACCACTGACAGTTTTGACACAGTTCTTGTAGCTAGCCAAGGAGGGTCCCTTGCTGGATCAGGAACTTGCATTTTGGTAGCAAAGTGTTCAGCAAAGAGGTCCGCCTTCTCTTGACTACTAGTAGAGGTGGTCCCATCCTGTCGATTTAGAGGTGGAATGAGTTCATCAGGCAGATAACCTTGTCTGTCCTTGACCAGGCACCACCAGGTTTTGGAGCCTACCCTACCTGTTGCTAGCTTTCTTTTAGTGTCTACCTCCCATTTAGCACTGGCCTACTTTTGAATGTCACCCATATGCCTACAGGTTTGCCTGTGCAAGTTCTTGTTATGGGTGGTAGGATGTCTCTTATACCTTCGCCATGCTTTGTACTTAGCAGTAGCAGCCTCTCTACAATGAAAGTCAAACCAACGCTGATCTGTAGGCTTCATCACACATTGCCGGTGAGGAATGTGTTCTTGTTGTAGATTAAGGATGTGTCCAGTGAAGGCTTTCACTTGGTTGTCAACATCCCCTTGGAGAAGGGTCAGATGATCCAACATAGCCGAGGGGTTGACAAGTGACTATACCTTCTGTCAGATCACTCACTACTGGGTCAAGGGAGGAGCCAGAGATGTGAGTAGGGAAATCAACAAAGTTTCTCATGTCAAATACTGCAAGAAGGTCATCAAAGGCCCTCTGTACAAGGTGTTGGTTGAGGTCACCAACAATTATGATATGTTAAAAGTTGTGTTGTAGCAGAAGAGAATCCATATTTTCCATTAGGAAGTTGACTGGGTCTGCATGTTGCCACTGAGGTCTGTACATTGCACATGCTAGTACAGAGGTACTAGAGTTTATGAAGAGCTTGAAGAACATCATTTCAAGATGAGTAGGGGTGGCAACATCAATGTGCTGGACATGAACACACACACACTCACTCACACTATTTTTTTTTTTTTTCAACAAGTCGGGCCGTCTCCCACCGAGGCAGGGTGACCCAAAAAAGAAAGAAAATCCCCAAAAAGAAAATACTTTCATCATCATTCAACACTTTCACCACACTCGCACATTATCACTGTTTTTGCAGAGGTGCTCAGAATACAACAGTCTAGAAGCATACACATATAAAGATACACAACATATCCCTCCAAACTGCCAATATCCCAAACCCCTCCTTTAAAGTGCAGGCATTGTACTTCCCATTTCCAGGACTCAAGTCCGACTATATGAAAATAACTGGTTTCCCTGAATCCCTTCACTAAATATTACCCTGCTCACACTCCAACAGATCGTCAGGTCCCAAGTACCATTCATCTCCATTCACTCCTATCTAACACGCTCACGCATGCTTGCTGGAAGTGTCCTTTGCACAACTCACCCACAAACTATTCTACCCAAGAAAATTTAAAAATTATTATTTGTCCAGTGTATTATTAAATTCTTCCCAAATTCTATTAATTATAAATGGATCTAATTTATATAAACCAAAGGAAATATTCATATTATTGTCAAAACTGCTTTTTATGAAACAAGATTCAATTATATTCCTGTCGACCATGGACTTGCTTAATACTACTTTCTCAACTTTTTGAAAATCAATTGGATGGTTAAAATCTCTTACATGAATAAATAGAGCATTGGAATCTTGTCCAGTTCTAATGCTATATTTATGTTGTTTTAATCTTAGTTCGAGATTTTTACCAGTTTGACCGTAATAAACTTTATCGCAAATTTTACAAGGAATCTTATAGACACATCCATCAGCATTTTGGGGGGAATTCTTTATCAATACATATATTTTAATCTATATATGTTATGCAATATTTATAAAATATATAAATAATATTATTAGAGAAATATATAAAAAATTTTTTACACTATATTTTATATAAATAAAAGCATACAATATGACATGTTGTGTGTTGTGCACGCAACTGCAGTGTGTTGTGGTGTGGTGTGGTGTGTGGTGAT